CAAGGAAGAAATTAGGCAGTTCTTAAATTCAAAGGACAATGGCAGTAAAATATACCTGAACCTCTGAGATACAATTAAAGCACTTCTAAGAGAGAAGCTTATAGCTGCAAATGCCTGTATCAGAAAAAATAAAGAAATACAAATAAATAGTCTAATTATATATATGAAGGTCCTTGAAAAATAATCCAAATTCAAACATTTTACAAATTTATAACTATCAATAAAATTCAATACATTCAAGAGGTTGTTCTTTGAAACAATAAATAAAACAGACATAACTTTAGGCAATATAACAACAACTAGAACAATAATAGCACAAGCAAAGGAGAGACCTATGTCAATGCAGTTAGAGATGATAAAGAGGGAACCACACAGAACACTGCCTACATGAATTAACTACTTCAGAAATATGTACTCCAATAAGTTGGATAAACTTGAACAGCTGGATAGATTACTGGATACCCATGAATTATTAAAATTGAAGCAATGGCATAATCCCCCCAAAAACCTCAGTACAATCAAAGAAATTGATGCAGGAATTAAAAAACAAACTTACCCACAAACAAAAACCGAGAACACAATGGAATCACTGAATTCTACAAGAATTTTGTGGTAATTTTTTTTCCAAAGAAGACAATATCAATATTCTTCAAATTCTTTTTAAAGAAGTTAAAAGAAGAAGGTGTGCTGCCAAATTTATTTCTGGAATACAGGTTTACTTTGATTCCAAAATGGGACAACTACTAAAATAAACACTGAGAAACTGTAGGCCAATCTGTTTAAAAAAACAAAACAAAACAAAAACAGATACTGGAATATAAAATGCAACAAATCACTAAAAGACATAACAAAGCATCCCCAAGTAGACTTTATCCTACAGATATAAAAACAGTCTAACATACACAAATCAATAAATATGATACATCTTATGAATAGAAGCAAGGAGAAAAATCATGCGACCATCTCAATAGATGCAGAAAATCTTTTTTGACAAAATCCAACATCCATTCACAACAAAAATTATGAGGAAAATAGGTGAACTTTCACACTAAAAGAATTACTGAGTAACTAAAAGTATTTTGATTGATTCATTACTGATTTCTAATTTATTAATTATTAATTACTATTAGTCAATTGAGATCTTTAGGAATGGTGAGAGCCCCAGTGCAGCCAACCCTTTCTCTCTCCAGTCCTATGCCTTGTAAAAGATTTTTATTTATATTACTAAGAAACAAATGGTGTATACATGTCCTTAAATATTACTTATTCAAATTTACATGAACAATGAATTTAATTATTATATTAATTATAAATTATTTATGTGATAAAATTAGAAAATTATAATTTTTGAGTGTATTTTGGATAAATTTCTTTTATTCAATGTGTTTGACCCATGGCCAACCAAATCACTTGAGCTAGGGCCTTCCAGAGCAAACACTGTATAGGGTAAGTTTCTATAGGTGAAATACTGCAAGGGTATATTATCTACTTAAACAATGAAAGAAATGTTTTTTTGGAACTCTAGGGAAAACCACACATTTATTTTAATAATTCTCTATGGGAGCTGATGTGTGTCTTCTACACATACTTGCTTTCTGCTTCTTTATTTCTAATCTATAATTGCATATATTATAATTAGCATTACATATATTTTACTGGAGATAAAAAAGGATAAACAATATATATTCAACTTTCACTATGTCTCCATGAATTTGAAGAGGTTACTTACTCCTCAGCTAGAACTGGTAGGTTCAAATAGCAATGCTAACAACATATTGAAAGTGTATATTTTAATTAAAATGTAACATTTTATATAAACCTTATTACTTACCTAAAGCCATATTACTCTGATCGTGAGAACAACAATAACAGATGATTTTAATAATCTAGCCTCTGAATATATTTTTCTTGCTGCAGTAAAAATCAGAAGACCAGGCTGACTGTTGAGTAAATATTACTCATATCTCTGGTCCAAAGAGTCAATTTTATAGTTTTATTTGAGCTTTTAACCAATAAATTTATATTTGTTTAATACATGGAATATAAACATAATTTATAATATCATAACATAAGATTAAGCTATCCTTTTTACCAAATCAGTATCTGTGATATTTAATTTAATAAAATCTCAAATAAAGGACATAGTAAATATTGACGTTGCTGTAAACTTTAAAGTTAGATTTGTTATCCGTAGTTTTACTTTCCTACACTGAGTACTGATTTTAATTCAGAAAATATTTTATAGAATCCCAAGTTTAAAAATAATTGATTTGGGTCACTTGCTCTTTTACTTCCTCAGCTCTATAGAGATTTTCTTATTCAAAATCATATGATCTTTATTCCTTAAAGTTGTAAAAGTGATAGCTTATTCTAGCCCTAACCCTAACCCCAAATTTGTGGGTTGCACATTTCCACATGTATTAATTGCCTTCTGATGTGCTGTTGCAGAAATGTATTTGTTACTGCATATAAACCACATGAAAAGTATTTAAAAATCTAGGCTAATTCAGTCAGAGCTATTAATGTCATTTTTCAAAACTTTTAATCAGAGCAAGGTATTTAGTTCAGTAGTTTATGTGCCTACCTGGAAAGTGTGAATGAAGATCCTCAGTATCTTCATTTTGATCAGAAAGTAAACAAGCACTATCTGATCCAATATTATAAAATTACTTTACTCCTTTGTAGGATATTGATACTTCCATATGTAGTATTCAAAAATTTCAACTTTTCAACTAAAGTTTAGTTATGGTTTTAACTAGGAGCACTTTTTTTCTTTTATTTACTATAAACTATTTTCAACTGTGCTTGAGTAAATAAAACACGTACTAATAAAAGTATTTAAACTCTAACTACATTTTCAAAATGTCCTAATGATTTTATTATAAATTTGATGACAAACTATAAAAGACAAAAGCAACAAATAAAACTTCAAACTCTTAAGTTTCCAAATAAAATTACATAATTTATCTCCTGAGTCACATATAGATTTTTCTTCTTTTAATATTTTGAGACCAACTATGGCTCTGAATGTTTCAGAATTACTGTGGAGACTCAGTTACATCATGGAAAAACAATGATGGCTATCATTCTTTATAAACAGAAAATGCAGCTGTGATTTTATTGAATATAGAAAGTATTTTCACCCACATAGTCTCTTTTATCTATTTTCCATAGTAAAATGTCTAGGGTCCACACTTAATTCCACATTAACAAGCACCATGTCATCAATGTCCAGATACAATGCCTATATGTATATAAGGGAATGTACAAAACTCTTTTATGTGTTACCATTTTAAGTCTCATAACAATTCATTAGACTAAATGATTTTTTTTACTGAAAACAACAAATATTTGAAAGAATTAAAAACAGATTTTTCCAATAAATGTTAAAGCCAGGATTGGAGCTGAAACCTTTACTGGTCAAGGCTTTTTTTAATTTTGATTTTTGGGTGAAAAATGTCTTTTGAATATTTGGCAAAGTAGTAAAACAAAAATTAGTCAGAAGAGATTTCTATTTTTCCTTTTGGAACTCCAGAGTCAGGATAAGGTAACAGCATGTGTACATGTGTATGTGTGTGTGTGTCTGCATGTGCATGTGTGTATCTGTATCTTTGTTTGTAGCAGTGGTAAAATAGAATGGAAAAGGAAGACTGAGACCAACAATTAGGCCAACAGCATTGCTCAATAAGGAAGATGCAGAGTACAAATGTCAGCATATTAGCTAAATATACATACTGAATCCCTCCAGAAAAAGTGAGACTTGGGGTGGGGAGAATGGCGGAAGGGGGTGAAAGGTTATGAAAGTGATCAAAGTGTTTTATGGTCATATTTAAATCTTGCAAAATAAATCCACTTACTTTGTATAATCAATTAAAAGGAGTAGTCAATTGTGAAATATCCATATTGTTATGAAATGTATTTTTAAAAAAATTATTATATTTATATAGTCTCACTTCATGTGTAAGACATTCTAAGGATTTCAGTAAAACTGTGATAAAAAACAATATTTTTGTATAGCCTCAAAAAGGGGAAAGAAGGATAGAAGAATGGAAGGATGGGTGGATGGATGGGAAGAAGGAAGGAAGAAAGGCATGAAGGAAGGAATGCATTGAAGGAAGGGAGGAAGGAAGGAAGGAAGGAAGGAAGAAAGGAAGGAAGGAAGAAAGAAAGAAAGAAAGAAAGAAAGAAAGAAAGAAAAAGAAAGAAAGAAAAGAATGGGCCAAAAGAAAGAAAAAAAAAACCAAGAAAGAAAATGAGCCAAGGTATTAGTCCAAAACCAGTCTGCAAAGGTGTAAAACATTAAACAGCACTAAGACAAAAGGAGAAACACTTAGGAGCCCAGGACACAAACATCACTTGTAAACAGCTGGGTAATTGCACAGAGACTATCTATTCAGATAATTTAGAGTTGAGGAAGAAGAGCTTCAGCTAGGGAACAGTAAGAAGACTCAGAAGAATAAGCTTTCAGGATGCAAGAGGTCAAGAGTTTGGTCAGAAATAAAGTATAAAAAATAGTACTCTGGAAGAAGGCTGTGGTTGAATCCTGAGAAAACTATATGCTATTTCCCAGAAAATTCCTAGGAAGGTGATTTCTTTAAAAATTTACAACATGGGAGAAGAGTGAGATCACAGGATAAAATATAGCCTGTTTAGTTTCAGGAAGGGTAAAATTATTGACAAACCTTTTTAGAATGATTAAGAGGAATGACAATTTATATACTGTCGATAGTAGGACAAAATATATGAAATTAATTTACTCTGTACAGCATGAGAGAGATGCATATTTTAAAAATTCGAGTTACAGAAAGGGAAAAGAATGAATATCAAAATGAAACATTAAATGCCTTTGTTCTCCATTCATTTAGGAGTAATACATATGCACAGAGACACAATCTACTTCTGCCAAGCAGATGTACCTAGCAATATTAAATTTCTAATGTGTCTGTCCATATGAAAATAATAGGCAATTATGCCAATATCACCCATAATAATTAACCAAAATGTGTTTCCTTAAGTGTGCAGATTTTCTTCCCATAGGAACCAAATATTCACTTTCTACATGTTCATATCTTCATAGTTATCACCAGATAAATTATCATTTCAGCATTTTACTTTCACTTGAGAAACTTTCTGAAATCCCTTCAGTGAATATGAAGAACAGCTCAACAGTATCTGAGTTCATTCTGTTAGGACTCACCAGCAGTTGGCCACTATCGGTTTGTTTTCTAATAGTATTTTTATTGGCTTATGTAGCAATCATAGGAGGAAATCTTTTAATTGTGTTCACTGTAACCTTTGACTCATATCTGCAGTCCACACCAATGTACTTCCTCCTTGGAAATCTCTCCTTTCTTGATATGTGCATTTCCACCATCACAACCCCGCAGATGGTCATCGATTTCCTGAGGGAGAAGAAAACTGTTTCCTTGTGGGGCTGTATGGCTCAGATGTTCTTCCTTCACTTCTTAGGGGGCAGTGAAATGACTCTGCTCATAGTCATGGCTGTGGATCGGTACATTGCAATATGCAGACCTCTGCGCTACTCAATCATCATGAACCGCAGGGTACTCCTGGGCTCTGTGCTGCTGTCATGGGCAGTTGGCTTTGTGCATACCATGAGCCAGATGGTTTTCATGGTCGCTTTGCCCTTCTGTGGCCCCAATGTGGTGGACAACATATTTTGTGACCTTCCTTTAGTGCTAAAGCTTGCCTGCTCTGAGACCTACGTGTTGGAGTTGCTGGTAATCGCGGACAGTGGATTTCTGTCTTTCCTTTGCTTCGTCCTCTTGCTCATTTCCTACACTGTCATTCTGGTGACTGTGCGACGTCAGTCGGCGGGTGGCCTCTCCAAGGCTCTGTCCACACTGTCTGCTCACATTACAGTGGTCACTCTGTTCTTTGGGCCATGTATCTTCATTTATGCGTGGCCATTTAATAACTTTTCAGTGGATAAATTTCTTTCTGTGTTTTATTCTGTGATTACACCCTTGCTGAACCCCATTATTTATACACTGAGGAATCGGGAGATGAAATCAGCCATGAGCCGACTGAGGGCTCAACACATCAGTTCCAGATAGACCATCTACACAACCATCAGGAAAATGAAGAATTTTGATGAAAAACCCACACATCAGCTCCAGATAGACCATCTACACAACCATCATGAAAATGAAGAATTTTGATGAAAAACTCACTGCTTTGAAAGTAGTTGTTTTTGTAGATTTTTAAAAGTAACCACAATATATATAATATATAATATGTAATATATAATGTATAATAATATGTAAGTTTAACCATTATATAATATATAATATTTTAAATTTATAATTTTAATTATAAGATTTTAAAGTAACTATATATATATATATATATATATATATATAATCAAATACAATGCTCCTTCATTATATTTCTGTGACATATTCAGTGTTACTGAAAGAATAATTATTTTCATTGTAAGTCAATTCGGATTAGGGAAATAAATTATTTTAAAATGTATAAAGAATTCTGTAAAAAAAAAACTATGTATATTTAGAAACCAACAAAATTTAATACTAAATTCCCTTAAGTAAAGAAAAATATGACTTTGTCAGGCTTGGTGTGGTGGAGCACACCTGTAATCCACTTGAGAGGCTAAGACAGAAGAATCACTGCAAGTTCTAGGCCAATTCGGATACACAAAGCAAGCCATGTAGGATTGGTCTGTAAAGTTTGGATCCAAAGCAAAAACTGTGCTCAAAAACCCTCTCTGTGGAAAAGTCAAAACTGTACAAAGGCCAGGGGACAGGACTGCATTTCAAACATCAATGACAACTTTGTAACTCACCAAATCTAAGTCATCTCCCAAAAGAAGAGTTTTCAGGGAAAAACCAGATAATTTAATTAAAAACCTTCTGGTCAGGAGAATTAGCACACTTATTAACTCTTCAGATGAGCTGCAAACCTTTGAATCAATTGAAGACATCAAGGTAGCCAGGACAGCAGAGCTAAAGACAATCACTTGAAATTATTTCCAATTGGTTATAAACAATAATCTAAATACCATTTGTTAAACAGCATTTTACTGTGGACTAATACATCATTTTTGCATGTATTACGTACCCATGTATTCCTAGTCTGTATCTGATCTCTCCTAATTCCACTGAGCACTTTGTCTTGCTGTTAAAACAGTACTACACTATGTTTAGTTTCTGTTTAATCTGGTTAAACAATGCATTCAAAGCATTTCAAATTTAAGGGGCTATGGTTCTTGTTAATAAACTTCTGAATAATTTTAGTATTAGGTCCCAATTCTACAAAAGTAAATGCAAGACATCAACAAAATTGGATAGAATTTATAAATTAATTTTGAAAAAAGTAACTATAATTTTAGTTATTTAATGCTTGAACTTAGTATATCTAATTATACTTTTTCTGTAAAATTTAGCAAACTGATAACTATTTGATTTATTATGGAGTCTCATAATTTATTACATTATTACAATGAGAAATTTGATTGCATTAGATATTAGTAGATTATTCCTATTACATAAAAACAGTATTTTATTTATTGATTATATATGTAGAAAATTTGTTAAAATTGCATCTATCTTATCATTATTAATTTAATAATAATTAAATTATTTGTCCATAAATAAAGCACAAAATAATAAATATTAATGAGGGTATGGAAGAAAGAGAATCCTTGAACATCACTGGTGAATGTCTTGAATTTCATCATTATACCTACCTTAGTGTCCTGAACCAATTCAAAATGTTTTCCTTTCATGAGAAATTTTGACTTTGGAGAAGAGCCAGATAGTGCAGAGTGTCAGATTCACTTAATAAGGTTTATCGAACACACTGTTTTTACATCTGCCTTTCTTGTGCCTGGTACTTGGGGAACATTCACTACATTTTTTCCCCACAGCTTCTAAAAATATGAAAACAGATTTTCAAATGTGAAGAAAAAACTTTCAGAAGTGGTTCATAAAATGTCAAAAAGGATAGAGTAAGTGTGTCAAAAGAAAAACAGTACGTTCATGGAGATTGGTCAGGGCATATATTTTTAAACTTAAACATTCAGCAATATTTTATCAGCCCTTTTAAGTTCCCAGGTCATTATGAAAACTGTAAAGATGTTTCCCCCCAAACTGAAAACCACATTGCCGTACAATTTAGCAGACTGTCTCCTGAGCACACATTCAAAGGAAATGAAGTCTTTATGATGAAGATGTAACTGCAATAAAACTGACTAACACTTTCAAATAGATACACACTACACAGAAGCTTTTAAACTTCTGGAAAATGCTAGAGGTCATATGACAATTTGAGAAAAATCTAATCCAGAAAAATCTACCAGATTTGAATGAAAGTGAGAGTCTGTGCCTTATTAATGGGGTGTTTCACTCCCAAGTGTTTGTTGTCAGAGCTTTTTTTGCACTGGCACCTTAGTACATAAGAACAGGCATCACTCTTTACCCACTCATTATCTTCCCATTTCTTAGTTCTGCCTCTGCTACACAGATAGGTAGGCAGAACCAATACAAGATATGACAATTGATGCCTCATATTCTCCCATTTTGGCTTGGGCACCATGTTGTGAAGATTTGCATAGGTGACCTTGGCATACAGGAAGTTTTGAAACCTCAAGGGTTCTGCCAGGTGGAGCTGACTTTATTCGGAAAACACTATGTAAAATGTAAGCCCAGGAGCCACTGTGAATATAACAAAGATGAGCTGTAATATCAGGGACTAATTTAAAAATAAAACTATTAGGAGTAATTTTATGGGAAATTATATGTGAAGTATTTATAAAATGTATATAAAATGGGAAAGACTAGATAAACACAAGAAGAAAGATAACTTCTGGAAAGAAATATAATGAGTAAATCTTTAGCATTTGTAATTTTGAAATCACAAAAAAGGAGACCTCTAAGTCCTAATGGCTTCATTTGTAATAACTACCAGATGTTTAAAGAAGGAATAATACTTATTCTTTATAAATTATTCTGAAAATACTAAAGTCAGAAATATTTGCCTTATAATTATATGAGAACAATTCTACCCTAATCTCAAAATCAGACAAAGACATTATAAACCAAGAAGACTATTGAACAACAATCCTACTGGATGAAAACTGAAATGTAAGCTACCTACAAGAAATTTACTTTGAATATAAAGACACAAATTACTAAAATAATATAAAAACCACAAAATACAGACACTTCCTGATTTTAAGACATTATGTAGTTATCATGAATTGGGGAATAATAAAGACATGGCATTGCTGAAACAATAGACAAATAGATCAATGGAACGAATAGATCACACATTCACACATGCACTAATATTAGTCACTGGTCCTTAACAAAAGAACAACAGCAATACAAAAGAAGAAAAGATGGTTTTCCAAAAGATAAGATTGTAACTACTGAATGCCCACATGCCAAATAATGAATTTTATTTAGGTTCTATACCGTAAATTAAAATTAATTTAGAATAAGACACAGGTTTAAATGTAGATTTAAAGCTATCAAACTCCACAGGAAAACACATGAGTAAGTTGAGGTGACATCGGTATAGAAGTCATAATTTAGAAAAATATAATGTGCAAACTAGACAAAATCTATTTTATGTGATTGCAAAAATAACACATTCGAAGAAAATAATGGCAAATGACATATTTGATAAAACGCTTATCATCCGTAATTTACAAAGAACATTTACATTCAACAAAAAATGAGCAGCATGGTATTAAAATAGCTGAAAGACAAAAAAAAACCCCTCATGAGTCAATATATATAGATAGAAAATACACAAAACAATGTTCAACATCATATCATTAAAGACCTGGAAATTATAACAAAAATAAGATGTCACTGCCTGCCTTTCAGAAGCACTGAGTTCAAAATACCATTGAATACTGAAAAGGAAGTGGAATAAAGGTAATTTTTTATTTCATTTTTTTATATGTTTGTAGTACATGATGCATACATTTATCATGGGGAATGAGTACATATACATAATATGGCTTGTTTCTCTTTTAATCTTTTTCCCTGCTGACCTTACCTGTCCCACATGTAAATTTCTTTTCTATCATTTTCATTCTCATTATTATTCTCATTAATGCATGTGAATGATACATACTTTCTTATTCATTTAAGTTATTAAATTCCTGTACATGACTTACCTTAATAATACTAACTTCCCCTTTCTCTTCCTTTCTTCTCTTAACCTCAGTTTCCTGGACTTCTTCTCATTTACAAGTGATCTATCCTTTTTGCTTTCTTTCCATCTTTAATTGTTTTTTGTTTGCACTGTGTCTTACTCAAATAAGAGAACCATACTGTATTTAAGCTTTTGTGACTGGTTTATTTTATTCTGTACTATCTCTCAAGTGCATTCATTTTTCTTTAAACATCTCAAGTTTATCCAATTTTTTAGCTGAGTAGTACTCCATTATGTATAGATAATATTTTTTTCTTTATGTAATCATCTGTTGATGGGTATAAAGGCTCCTTCTAGAATTTAGCTGTTAAGAATTGTGCTGCTATAAATATTTGTATTCATACATTACTATAGTATGAAGTCGTTAATTTTGGGGGAAGATACCTATAAGGGAAATAGCTAAGTTGTACGGAATTTCTAATTTTACTTCTTTGAGAAATTTCCATCCTGATAGTACCTACTCACTTGCATTGCTACCAACAAGGTGAGTTCCTTTTGCACCACAGCTGTACTTCGGTATTTGCTATTCTTTCATAATTTCTCAGAAATTACCATTCTTTCTGATGAAACATGACATCTTAGTGCTGTTTTAATTTTCATTTTTCCTGTGACCATAAATGTTGAACTTTGTTTCATATATTTGTTGGCCATTTGTTCTGAGAAGTGTCTGTTAGGTTTACTTGACCATTTCTTGGTTGGATCTTTTATTTTATTTTGGCTAGCATATGCCATCTTGTTTGCATCTCAAGAGCACACTGGAGTGGGCAGAAACACCTAGGTCTATTTTTTATTTTAGTTCTTTATATATTCTAAATATTAGTCCTCTGTCTCAGGAATAGCTGGAAAATATTTATTTACATTCTGTAGG